ATTTTCTGTTTTTGAATTTTATTACAGTACACAATAACAGAAAAATTAACTACTCATAACAATGGAATATATTGAAAATCTAATTAAAATTGTATATGTAACTTAAAGTCTTTATATACATGTGTCAAGTAATAAAGCTTTTCAATATTTGCATATTTTCATAAAAAATTGATTTTTTTTCCCCATTACTTGTTCATTAGCTCAAAAACCATATTCGAATATATTAGGCCGTTATTAATAGAAAATCTGATATACAAGATTGGTGTTAAGAAATTAATGGAACTTACAAATTCTATAGATTTTGATACAAACCAGATCTAAGGGCATTGTAGTAAATATCACGTCCGCGCTTTATAAAATTCGACATAAATAAGTTTAATAATAAATCATATGATCGGATATACTACATTATAATTTATAATTATGTATATATTTAAACAATTTTGCATAACAATTTTTGTCCTGCATATAAATAATAAATAAAAAGGTTTTCCCTTTCTTAATAATGCTATTGCTACCGGCATATAATAAAATATATGTACATACATATGTATGTACATATGCATATATTTTGCGATATGGTCAACTTAACAAACATAAATTATCATAATTATTACAATGTATTATTAAGTATATACAGTGGTGAACAAATAATGTTCATTCTAAAAACACCGCACTTATGGGTTATTGTTAACCACAGTATTAAATAATAATCGTTTCTAAATAACAAACATCAATCATTAATTACTTTTATTGGCTAATTAACAACATAAGAACGAATTCTGGGGAAGATTTATTTATGTTTATTATAGCTGTGGTGTTCACAAATTTCCCAGCATTTCCTTCTATTTTAGAAGAGAATGTACCAGTAAACACAAGACATTATGAATAATTTAGTTTTAAACTTATCGTGTCCTTCTCTACATCATAGTTAAATTATGGGTAACAGATATCTAGAAAACATCTTTTTCCAGGCGATATAAGTATGTACATATGTATATATACATACACTGAAAATAATCCATGCTCAATTTTACGAAAAAAAATTTCGTAACTTCTTTTTTCGTAATATTTACAAAAATTTCGTGTATAATACGAAATATTATTTAATAAGACCCTTTTCTATTTTTACGAAAGTACGAAAACCTTTCGTAATATTTTTTTCTTAAATTTTAGCGAAATTAAACATGATATGATATTAATAATATTATCGTTAAATAAAACTACAACATTTTTATAAAAATTAAGAAAAAGTATAATAAAAGTATTTTCATAAAAAAATTAAAAATTCTTGTGGAGAATAATTTTTAACTAAAATTAGAAAAATTATTTTAAAATGAACAAAAATGTTTGCATAAATTAATATTTCGTAAATTTGACCATATTTATTCAAAATTCACTTTTTTCAATTTATTTAAATTAATTTTTCCAATATTATTTTGCATTATACTAAAATATTTCGTACAATTTCGTATATATTACGAAAGAATTTCGTGGTGCGAAACAACGAAAGATTCGTATGTACGACATTTTTCGTATATATTAGGCATTAATTTTTTTCAGTGTACATATGTACGAAATTTCGCCTAAAAATGCAAATGTTGGTCATGCGGAGCGACATAAATTTTCATAAATTGTCCACAAAATTTCACATAATTCTAATTATAAATCAGAACTATTAATTTGTGTTCCTGCTTAGGTTTTCGCTGCTCATATGGGATTTAAAACTTGTTGTTCGTTTATTAAATATGTAATGAATAATACCCAACTCCGACGCTTTTGAATGACGACTAATCATTAACTGTCCCGGTTCATAATGTTAACCTATTAGCTGAGTTATTCACAAGTAATTCTTGCTTACCGGAAAGCTATCAATTACTATCCGAGATCGAAAGGGTATCATTAACTGTGACAAAGGGTATCATTAACTGTGACAAAGTCTCCCGTACCAGATGACATATCAGTACTGATCTTGAAGTAGTGCTCTTTTTCGCTAGTTAGCCCATTAGCTAAATTGTGAAAGATTGCTTTTGTAACGGCAATTCATGAAAATAGAGAGGCTAATAACAGTCTAATAGAGAATGAATCTATTGGTCAATTACTTTTGAAGATATAAACGATTAAAAATTGTTCGACTTTATACAGAAAAGAAAAAAACCGGTAACGCCGTTCTATTAGAAAGATTCGGGACTCTATATATGTCCAAAATTTTGTTTCGTTCAAATTTAACAGGATTTTTGAACTCTTTTTGTAAATGGCTACACTCCTTGCGAAATTTTTAAAAATTTTTGACTATCCCTGAAAAGGAAAATTTTCTTTGGTGAGTCTAAATTTATTCATTCCATCGGGTCTAAAATTAACTGGTGCTAAATGTTAACCCAATCAAATATAGAACATCTGTGAAAGAATTCGATTAATTATCACAAAATTGGTTAAAATGTAAAATTTTTTCCGTTACAACAAATATTTTTACATTTAAAACAAATGTTTTCTAAACACTAGTCCCCCTAGCCTTCCTACCACAACATGATTTCCTACTTCCACAAAAAGCACTACATAAGTAGTGACCATTTCGTGAATGCTGATCCTAATATATAGCTAGTTTTAATAAAGCTCTCAAATACAAAATGTAAATTTCAAATTAATCAAAAATCATATGATCGTTGAGTTCATTATGTTCACAACTGTAAAAACACTATTCGAAATGATTTGAAGAGAACAAAATGTTTTTCAGCTTGTCGTTCAGAAAACTAAATTCAAACCTTTAAGTGATAAGAATTCTATGGATAAAATGCTTTACGAAGCAAACAAAACTAAACCAACCAACCAACCAACCAACGAAAATATTTTTATTCATACACATGTATTTCAGTTATTAATCTGAGACGTTTGAAATAAGACGCAACGATCGTGCATTAAACAAATTGAATACTTAATAGTGATCATAATTACACATATTTAATAATAATTATAAATAATAAAAAATTAATTTTGCATAAAAATTACTATAAATAAAATATGAGATTTAGAAAAAAGTTGACCTTGTGAAAATTTACAATTAAAAAAAAAAGGAAACAAAATGCATGATATAAAATATCAACCATTAAAAAATAATGATGAGGATCCCTCAATAACAGATTCAAATTTTGATACGTATAGAAGTGTTTCTAATGAATTTAAAAAATATTGGTTGTTAAAAGTTTTACTTATATGTTTTATAATTGTTAAAGCAATTTATGTGATAAATAATTTTGAAACTATTATAAATTGGCTACAGAATCACAATCGTACAGATATTAATTATAATGAAACCGATATATTTGAAAATGTCACCAATATATATGAAGAGGATTCTTTAGCAGCAACAACAATACTCTATGATTTCGTAAACAAAACTATAGTTGAGGAAAATCATTATTTGGCAACCACTAGTAGTAGTAATATTACTAATAATACTACTTTTATTACTACTACTGATACCACTTATACTAATAATGCTACAGCTGCTAGTAATAATTATTATGAAATTACGACAAAGAAATTATATAAAGATGAAAAAACAATGGAGAATAATAATGATATTCAAACTAATGATTATAATAATGTGGATTCAACAACATTAAAATTAGAAACAAATTTTAAAGATGATGCAAAAACAACGACAACAACATCAATTAATTTAAATAGTAATAACAATAATATAGCTACAATAGAAAACCTAACAACAACAACAACTGCAATGTATTTAAATAATACAATAATTACCTCAACATTATTACAAACTACAGAAATAGTTACTGGTCCACCAATATCTAGAATCACTACTACGACAACAACATCAAAGCCGATGACGCCACCACCACTTAAAATACCTGATGTAAAACCTTCTTCCCCAACAAATGAGCTAAAAAAATATTTCATTAACACCAGCCACTGTCATATACCCTATGTAGATCCATTCACATCTGATGTTCGCAAGATATTTAAACCTCAACATAGTACGGGTTGCACCAAAGATCAGCCCATTATAAGGGCTTCCTTTAATGAGCTCGATTACCAATATCATTTACATATTAACTATACAATAGCTGAAGAATTACGAAAAGATACTAATAAATCGAATCCTATAGAAGAGGATGTTTTGTGCTGCTATCAAGAAATACTACGTAGCGGAAGTGGTTCAAATGTTGATGCTAGTTTTAAGTAAGTTGTGTTTTTTTTAATCTACAGTAAAACTCGTTTATAACGAATGTGTAATATTATAGGGAAATATAAAGAATAATGTTTTGTATTTGACTATGTCGACAAATTTATTGATTCAGATATTAAGTACCAATATAGAATATTTGTGTGAAAAAGTCATCCCATAATCTTTACCGAATTTTAACTAAATAACTTATAATTTGGTTTTAAATTATTATGCTGCATTATTCGTAAAAGCCGAGATATATTGTATTTTACAAGCATTTAAACAAATTAACTAACATGCAAGTTTATATTCGATAATTTTCAAACAAAATTAAAGAATGACCTTGTTAATAATCAAAATATTTTTTTAAAATATATTTAAACTTGTTAAATAAATTTCCACAATTAATTTTCGACATATAATTATCTCATGCATGCAATAAAATAGATGTGATTAGATATGATAGTGTTTTATGTGTGCATATACTATGTATATAATTATTATTAAATTCCCCAAAAATATTGTAATGTTTTTCTTTGAAGTACATACATACACACATACATTTACATGTTATGAATGAAAATGCGTAGTATATATGTATATTTGATACAAACGAGTTCTAGTCAATACTCAGTTCAAACGATACAAGTAATACGAATGTTTGTGTGCTTTAAATCAAGTTGTATGCAGTGAGTAAACCGGGAAATGGAGGTACTTAGCCTAAATTAATATTTTTGTAAATGGTGATGATTTCAAGGTAATTTGTCGATCATTACTTTGAATTTTTGAACTTAATTTCGAATATTAAAACATAATATGGTATTGTCATTAATAGTACTTAATACTGCCAAATTTTAGCCAGTTCGATACTCGGGAAGTGGTTTTATTAGCTTCAATATTTATACGAAAATTTTTTTGCAAATATTTTGTTAGTTTTTTTGACATAATAAATAATTTATAAGCATACAATTTTTTTCGAACATTACGAATTTTCGAACTTAATTTCGAATATTCGAACATAACAATTTGTTGTCATCAGTGCAAATTCGGGCAACGAAAAAAAAATGTAACCATTTATTAAAAAAGTTTTAATCGATTCATCCGATTCAAGTAATCAGTTTTGTATTGTTTTAACATAAACAAATTGCTTACGCAATTGGAAGGATTGCGTAGTGCTCACATAGGTCATTGTAATGTTAGGTAGTTTTGCAGGGACATAGAATATATGAAATAGTATTGAGGTACAACGGAACGGACGGATTATCTTTTTGAGAGTTACATATATCAGCACAAACGTATTATATCCTCATCAGTATGGTGGTGTAGCTTCGTCCTGTATCTGGTGTTTAAGTTTTATACTTTATACTATGTTTGTTTTTTTTTTTGTAACTTTTAAGTAGAATTTTCTATATTTATAAATTACTAGCTATACCCAATGTGCTTTGCTACCCTAAAAGCAATACATATAAGTAAAAAACCCACTTAACGATTTTGAAGATTCTAACTACAATAGTTTTCCAAATTTACAATATGTTACATATGAGGGATGCCAAGCAAATTATTGCAAGTTCGCCAATTTCTATTATCTATCTATGAAAAATTGTAATAATCTAACAGTTTTCAAGTTATATGAAATCGAGTGTCAAGCCCCCATTGAAAGTCCGCTCGATATTCTCTAAATGTTCACATGAATGTCAAAGTTTTTGATGTAAAATTTGAAGATTCTGGCTCTAATAGTTTCTCAGATATACGAATTTTTCTATTTAATTCATTTGAGGGCTTCAAGCTCCCCAGATGAAAGTCCGCCCTTTTCCCCCCAAAATGTTCAGATGAATATTAAAGTAATTTGTGCAAAATTTGAAGAATCTAATTCTATTAGTTTCTCAGATAAACGAAATTTTGTATTTAATTCATATGGGAGGTGCCGCTCCCCTCATGGGTAGTCCGCCAATTTATTACCCAAAATGTTTATATGAATGTAAAAGTTATTCGTGCAAAATTTTAAGATTCTAACCGTTATAGTTTCCAAGACAAACGAATTTTTGTATTTAATTTATATGGGAGGTGCCATGGCCCCCAATGCTAGTCCGCCCACTTTTTGTCCTAAATAATCATATTGACACTAAAGTAGCTTCGACTAGATTTGAGGACTCTAACTGTTATATTATCTCAAATATTCGGATTTAATATTTTCTTAATATGGGCGTAACTCCTCGCCCACTTGAAATTTAAAAATAAAGAGTAGCCTATTACCTATTCCAGACATAATAATCAAATCTAATATATGTTCATTGTACATATGTATGTAACTTAATTTGTAAGCAGAATTTCTGCTCTATGTATTCCATTATAGAAATTATATGTACATATGTATATTTTTATAGATAAAAAATATTTTTTGATAAAAGGCAAAACTATGTATGTGTTATTCCATATACATACTTTATTTCTCTTCAAATCAGAAATTTATCATATTCTTTTAAATAGAATAGTGTATGTACATTGTACAAAGAACATAGATTACACATAATTACTAACTATATAAAAAATTTGATTTATAAAACTTTGATAAATTGATAATGTTTAGCAGGTTTACATATTATACCGTTACCACTAAGATAACGTTACCGAAATAAGTATAAATACCGTTATATATAAATGTATGTATAATTCATGGAAGCTAACGTAAATAACATTTTCATCGCTTTAAAACGGTTGCTGTCTGTCCGCCTAATTTTCTAAAGGCCCCAGTTGTCGTATTATTTTATCAGAATTTTCTTCTTAAATCTGAAAAATCGGCCAATAAATATCAGAGATCAAAATTGCGAAAACCCCCACAATTTATTCTATATTTCTGGATAAATATATCTTGGACGAAATGTTCTGTTTTGTATATCAAAAGAAATAAATATTTATGTATGTATATCAGTTCCATAGTTTTACAAAATCGCTTTATTACCCGTTATTTTTATTTTTAATAAATTGTTTTTATTTTTCTTATTTACAGATTACTGCCATGTACAAATTTCCATCAAGATTTTGTGGTTCCATTGCATATTAACGGTATTATTGTTAATTGTAAATCGAAATCTAAAAAATCCACTTTACAGGAAGATGCATTTTCCTTTATACAAGTGAATAAAACCATAATCCAACAGGAATCTAAAAATGTTACAGTTCAACGTCGAAAACCAAGTATATTAATGATTGGTATAGATACTTTATCGCGCATAAATTTTCGACGAAATATGCCGGAAATGTTAAAGTATCTTGTTAAAAATAATTGGTATGAACTGTTGGGTTATAATAAGGTAATTAAATACAAATTCATTTCATAGCTTTTTACTTTTTATTTATTTTTAATTTAAATTAAATGTACTTTTTAAAAATAGATAAAACTATATGAAATACTTTAAAATAGCCTATATGTATGTAATTTGTAATACACAGCTCAAAAGCCCCGATTTTTGGTTTGTTTCAGTCTTGTTATAAATGATTGATATGTATAAAATTTTTATTGTTTTAATCACCAATTAACTCTCAATATGAAATTTTTGTTGAAAAAACTACGTATGTAGTTTCCCGTATGTATATGGGAAACTACATATAACATTTTTCATAATTTTTCGAAATAAACTTCAACTGACTGGTTATTTAACACTACTGTAATAGCTGGCTTGGAGACACTTGACTCTCTCCCAGAACAAGTAAATGTCCATATACCTAGGACAGTAGTAAAGTAATTAGTTAAGAAGCTAGTAATATGATTGAGTTCCACGAAGCAATTTGGGCATTGTCATCCACTGCCCAGTAAAAAATTTTTAGACTTTAGGAAGCTAAAAAGGGAAGTAACTGCATCTGTATTCGCTTACTATTAAGCCTTACTGAGAAGCAGGAAATAAGGGAATACCAATGATAGGAGTAATTTTATAATGTAAGCTGAAAAAATTAAAAGCTTACTACTATCCCTTACAGAGAAGCAGATTGTAAGTGAAATATTTAAATAATATTTAAGCTTACTAGTGGGAATGCTTCCAAGTGGGAATTCGCTATATAAAAATCATGCCTTATCGAAGCAGGTTTGTAAGGGAGAAAATAGCTTCGTTCCCTTACAAACCTGCTTGCATGTAAGCTCCAATTTTTACTGGGTGACTACTTTTAACTGTCTCTATGTAGGGTATGGAGTGACGATTGACTTCTTCGTAGAACAAGATCATGTTAAAATGGTAGTTCGGGACTTATCAAAGGCGAAATATAACAGTGTTTTAGTCGGTTATTAATCGGATAATTTAATTTTTTTTTCTTAATCGAATAAAAGGAAACTGGATGTCTTATTGCTTTTTTTTACAATATTTTTTTACAATATATTAGTGACTGTGTATTTGGGTCTCAAATATTTAATTCTTTAATTTAATCGATAGAACTACGTTAACTAGTTAGTGGCTCTACGTCTCTGAAGTGCAAAAATTCGACCACTTAATTTTTATACCCACCATCAAAAAAGATATACCCCCCATTTTTTTGTCATTCCGTTTGTAACACATCGAAATATTCATCTAAGATCCATAAAAGTATATATATTCTGGATTCTTATTAAATTCTAAGACGATCTAGCCATGTCTGTCCGCCCGTCCGTCCGTCTATCTGTTGAAAACACGATAGAGTCCAAACGGAAGTACCTAGCTGGCTGAAATTTTGCATAGACATTTTATATTGATGCAGTTTGTTTGGTATTGAAGATAGCCAATATCGGTCCACGATTTCGCCTAGCCCTCTATAGAAACCTAAATCGCTTTGTAAAATTTTATAAGAATGGGTGCATAATTGACCCTACCCCCCATATAAAGTCCCCTTCAGAAAATGACTTTAACGCTCATAACTGCCTTGAAGAAGCAGCTATAGCCATAAAATTCGACATGAACATATTTTATAGAAACCTTAATATCTTTGTAAAATTTTATAAGGATCGGTCCATAATTAACCCTACCCCCATATAAGGTCCCCTTCAGAAAATGACTTTAACGCTTAACTGCCTAAAAAAAGCATCTATATCGATGAAATTCGACATGAAAATATTCTATAGAAACTAGGGTGATCGATTATTCGACATTTTCCAAAAACCGGTTTTCGAATAGTTCGAATAGTTGACATTTAAAAAAAACCGGTTGATATTTTTCAAATACAGAAAAAACCGGTTAACCGGTTTTTCATTATAAATAAAAAAAATATATTTTAATTTAAAAAACTTAATGTTTATGTTTAAATTTGATTAATAAAACATGGCCCGAAATGATTTTTAACAGTTTAAAAGATTATAACTTTAGATCTAGTCGTCTGATTTACATTATTTCTTTAATATAAAAAAAATAGGAAAAAAGTGGGACACTTCTGTTAAACATAAGGTACTATGTAATCCTAGCTTATTTTAAAAGCCCTGTTTAGGAAATTTGCATAGGCATTCCAACACTTCCATAAAATTTCAGCCGTAAATTAATTATTGTAATTGGAATATAATCTTAAGATTGATAAAATTTTATCAAACAGTTATCAATTTTACAAATAATTTTTTTTAATTAATTAGGAAAATCAAAGAAGTTTAACGAAAGGAGCTGTAGAAAAATATACGCTAGTTCCTCGACTCGAATATTTTTAAAATTTAGACGGGCTGTATTATTATTTACTTAAAAATTTCATTTAAATAATCTTTGAATACAAAGCAAATAAAAGTATTCGAAACCGGTTTTTAAAAAGTGAAAAAACCGGGTTATTCGATATTCGAAAAATCAACATTAAGAAAAAACCGACACTGGTAAAGCAGAAAAAACCGGTTTTAAAACCGGTTGAAAAATCGAGTCGATCACCCTAATAGAAACCTAAATTGCTTTATAAAAATCGGTCCTTTATTGACCCTACCCCCAATATAAGGTCCCTTTTAGAAAATGACTTTAACGCTCATAACTGCCTTAAAGAAGCATCTATAGCGATGAAATTTGACACGATCATATTTTATAGGAACCTTAATATCTTTGTAAAATTTTATAAGGATCGGTCCATAATTGACCCCCCATATAAGAAAACGACTTTAACGCTTATTACTAGCCTAAATTAAAATCGTTCTAGAAAATTTGACGAGGTCCCTTAATTGACCAAACCAACCCCCAAATAAGGTCCCTCTCAGAAAATGACTTTAACGCTTAAAAATACAAGTACAGCGACAAAATTCGACAAACATTTCTCTACCAAATTTTAGGAGAATCAGTCCATAATCGATATACATATACATACGATGGTAAAATTATAAATGAGAAAATTATTTTAATAATAACAAAAGCATCGATTCTTAAATATCAAAGTTTATTTATAAGGAAGCATTCCTTTTCGGCAATGATTTGATGGTGGGTATACAAGATTCGGCACAGCCGAATATAACACTCTAAAATTTATGCATTTTATACAAAACCTTTTCTGAATACAAAATTCCAGATAATAGGAAATATACATCAGAAGTTTCTCGAATAATGTTAACCCATAAACTGTGAAGGTCAAACTCATGCTATGTAATATTGGAAAACTTTCTTGAAACCATAGTGAAATATTATTTTGTTTTCAAACGATTTAAATTTAAGAACAAGTTATATTCGGCTGTGCCGAATCTTGTATACCCACCATCTTTTATATTTATTATCAAAACAATTTTCTCATTTATTATATCTATGTATAATTTTACCATCATACATATGTATATCGATTATGGACTGATTCTCGTAAAATTTGGTAGAGAAATTTTTGTCGAATTTTGTCACTGTACTTGTATTTTTAAGCATTAAAGTCATTTTCTGAGAGTAACCTTATTTGGGGGGAGGTTTGGTCAATTATGGACCGATCCACGTCAAATTTTCTAGAACGATTTTAGTTCAGGCTAGTAATGAGCGTTAAAGTCATTTTCTGAAGGGGACCTTTAAAATATGTTCGTGTCGAATTTCATCGCTATAGATGCTTCTTTAAGGCAATTATGAGCGTTAAAGTCATTTTCTGAAAGGGACCTTATATTGGGGGTAGGGTCAATTATGGACCGATCCTTATAAAATTTTACAAAGATATTAAGGTTTCTATAAAATATGTTTATGTTGAATTTCATCGCTATAGTTGCTTCTTTTAGACAGTTATGAGCATTAAAGTCATTTTCTGAAGGGGACCTTATATGGGGGCTAGGGTCAATTATGGACCGAATCTTATCTTATTTTCAATACCAAACACACTGCATCAATATAAAATGTCTATTTCAGCCCGCTAGCTACTTCCGTTTGGACTCTATCGTGTTTTCAACAGACAGACAGTTGGACGGACAGACATGGCTAGATCGTCTTAGAATTTAATAAGGATCCAGAATATATGTACTTTTATGGGTCTTAGAGGAATATTTCGATGTGTTACAAACGGAATGACAAAAACAATATACCCACCATCAAGGGTATAAAAATAAATATATTTTTATAATTATATAAAATGTCCGAAATATAAATATGTATGTATGAACATAATATTCAATGCCATTTTCCGAGAAAACTGTGAGTGATAAAGAAAAACCGACATCAAATTCGGTTTCAGCAGTCGAATTGGTTTCAAACCTTGATTTTGTTGGCCTGTGTAATTAAGGAATAAATAAAGGGAGAAAATTTGTTATATAGATATTGAATTTATGAAATTTTACTGTTAAATAGTAAGTTTTTATTAATCGGTTCATTGATAAAAATTATTCGGTTTATTCGTTATTTGAAATTTGGCAATTTTCATTTATTCGAGCGATTAATCGTTAGAATACCCTAGTGTTGTGCAAAAAAAAAATCCAAACTATTTATAACAAATTCAATGGAAAATCGAAAATGCACAGACTGCATAGTTTGCGAGACTTTTGAACGTTTAAATCAAAAACTCTTAATATTAAATAGGTGTTAAACCATCTATAATTTTGTTTTGTCGTCAGTTGGAGTAGTGGAAAAATAACAGAAATAAAAAAAATTTCTATAGTTATTATTCCCAAAAACATAATATAAGCATTTGCTAAAAAATTATTATATAGATAATATTGATACAATTGTTAAAATAAATCAAACAACAAAGTTATCTTCCTGGTACAATGGTATAATTATTGCGTAAATATTTATGTAGTTGCCACTAAATTTAAAAAGCAAACTAATAGGTGTTATTGATACAAATGTACGTGGCAACTACATAAATACATATTTACGCAATAATTATACCATTGTACCAAGAAGATAACTTTGTTGTTTGATTTATTTTAACAATTGTG